CTCTTTCAAGGAGAACTCTCTCCTTCTCATCTCCTTGAGCCTTCATCTTTGGAGCTTTAGGAGTTCTTTCCGGAATTGCTAGCACCATTGAATCAACCTTGATTCTTCCAAGCTAGTTCCGACCTTGAAGATTCTCTTGGCTTAAGCTTGAAGAATTTCTTCCATCCGATCAAGAAGCTTGCCATATAGGAGCTTCATCAGTTTATTTGTGAACTGGTACCAAGAACAGACTAGGAGGATCTTTCATCGCTAGATTGACAGATCCATGTAGAGGAGAATAGAGACACATACCTCCACTAACATTTTACATATATATATATATATATATATATATATATATTTAAATTATCATATGAATAAAATATAAATTTAAAAGAGTTGTTCATTTATTTGATATTTATCAAATTTTCGAAGGAGATTAGTTCTCATATGTGATAAAGAATACTCTTTAATAATAAATTTTTTTTTTTAAAGTTTAATTTTTTATCAAATAAAATTTGCAGCATATATGTTTACTTTTTGTACTTTCTATTTATATATACATTGATTAAAAAAAATCAAAAATAGTAAAGATCATAAGACTGTATATATTGATTAAAAAAATCAAAGTAAAGATCATAAGATTGTATACATTGATTAAAAAAATTAAAATGGAAAAGATTGGAAGATTTATGTTCTATTTAGATTTTTTATTATAAAATATGTTTTGAAATAAATTATCATCTAAAATATTATATTATATAATTAAAAACATGCTTATATTATAAATAAATTAAACTTGATTTTTATACAATTTAATATATTTATTTTTATGTTTTTATTAGTATTAAATTATTATAAAGTATATTTTTAGGATTGTAGTTCTAACCAAACATTTAAAAAAAATGTCTATGATAGATAAATAAGTCATATTTAGGATATCTATTTAAAAAAAAAGTTAAGTCTAAATCTACTAAATTATAATATAACATAGTCTGATCTAACTTATTTTCATCCTTAATCATAAATAAAAATATAAAAACTTGTAAAAAATAATTATGATATATATTTATATCACTACAAGAATGTTTCAATTTAGAGTCGGCCAAAAGCCGACTCTAAATCATAAAAATCGACGTAATATTGTCTATTATTCGTCGGTTTTTGGTCGACGCTAAATAAGTCGACACAATCTTTTTTATGTCGGTTAAGCTGTCACTAACAAATTTATTTATTTTAATTTTTTATTGTCGGTTAAGCCGACACTATGTTGACACAAAAGTTATTTTATTTTTTTCTTTATCTTCTTTTTCCAGCTTATCATTTATTCGTTCGTATTTTTAACATTCCTGGGACTCGATCCGTGAATCTTGAGGTCTTAAGTGAACTTGATAACCAAGTGTACTAGAACACATTATGCGTATATAACATTGAAAAATTATCTTTATCTCTCTCAAAGCACGTATATTGTCGGAAAAGTTGACGCTATTTCAAGATGTAGCGTTGGCTTTTCTGACACTAGTTTAATTTAAATTTAAATTAAATTAGTGTCGAAAAAGCCGACGCTATATTTAAAGAATAACGTCAGCTTTTTCGATGCTAAACTTAAAATAAATTTAAATTAAATATTTTAAGTTTAGCATCGGAAAAGCTGACGCTATTCTTTAAATATAGCGTCAGCTTTTCCGACACTATTTGCGTCAGCTATTAGTCAACGCTTATTTTTTTATGCTTATTCACCATTTTCTTGTAGTGTATTTTTAAAAGTTATATGTAAAATTTTTAATATTATAAATATATAAATAAGTATTGTTCTACTATCTAAAATTTTTGTATACGTCATTGTCCCTAGGTGACATTGCGAGTAGGCATGACAATCTAACCCGCCCCCGTGGGTACTCGCCCGAACCCGCCCCGATTTTGATGGGGAAAACCCGTGTTTATCGGGTTCGGGTT